TACCAGGTTGACATAATTAAAAAAATATTTTTTTTTTTTGAAAATATTAGGGACCCATTTAATATTCGAGGGTCTTGAGGGACCCTTTTAATTATTATTTATTGAAAAAAAATTTAAACTTGATGTTTTTGTATTAGATAGAACACATTTAGGGGGTGAGAGCAGATTATTTTTAAAAAAGTTGTTTATTGGGACACCCTATTATATATGTAGAACCATAGGAAAACTTTTCAGAATCATATCTTTTAGGCATCTCAAGATATATTTCTTTTTGTACAGGGCATCAAAAGATTTATTAAAATGTTACATCATTTTGAAATTGAATTTTCATAAAGAAGCTTTAAACTTTTAGGGTGTAAGGTATCATTTTTGAGTTTCTCTCTCTAGAAAATAGTTGTGTACAAATTTTCAACACTATTGAACAAGTATTTCATAAGTTAAAGCTAATTATGTTATTTAATTAGATTAAAAAGTCAATGGCGCTGAAAAAATAGTATAAAAAGAGATTGGGACTGATTATCAATATCTCTGAAACCATAACTCAGACACTAAAATTTGAAGTGAAGTTTTTTTCATTAATTTAAGTTATACCAAAAATCATCAAAATCCAAAATGTCATGGTGCCAAGCATAAATTGAGTTCAACTGGAATGATCACTAAAAAAAAATTATTAAATAAATGTATCTATTATAGTATTGGAAAGAGGGAGTAAACAAGTAAAGTAAAAGAACAACAAAAAACAAGTAAAATTTGATTTAATATTTACTCACTAATGTTAGTGGAACATTATATTAGTTTTTTTTTTTTTTTTTTTTTTTTTTGAAAAAAAAAGATTTATTTCATTCAATTTAAAATTTTGAACAAAAAATAAAAAATTGCAAAAATAAGTTAAAAAATATTATGTTGAATTAAATTATCCTTAATATATTTCTACTTTTACCTTTTTGCAAGTACAAATATTTAAAAAAAGGGCAATAAGTTTTAAATTTATGCATAAAGCAACTAACATAAAATATTTATCAAAGTACTTACCTTTTATATTATTAAAAGAATCTTGGCATAAACAAAGCAGATTTTAGAATTAATAAGTTTGAAGTTTTATTGCACAAGTTAGCAATGTGATTTTTCCAAATAATATTTTTGTTAATATAAACTCCTTAATATCTTGTCAATAAAACTCTTTTGATAAGCGTATTGTTAATAAAATCAGCTTCGTCTTGTAGAAGGCCTAATAAACTAAAACTTAAAGGGTAAGAAGAAAATTTCTGTTTATCAGCCTTGTACTTCTTTTTTTTTAAAGGGTGGTGCAGATATAAATATATGCAACTCTGAAAAACAGTTCGTTTTAAGGCAGGTAGTAATGTGTTCCAAACCTGTTGTAGCTCTCAGAAAAGCTGACTCCATTAACAATTGTTGTATATCCAACTAGTAACAGTGTTATGTATGATAGGTGTCCCTGTAAGTGCTTTTGATGTGCATTGTTATTTTGATGTGCATTGTAATTTTGATGTGCACTTTGTTGTGACTTTTTTTAAATTAGCAAAAATTAGACAACTACATAAGTTATTGCTCACCTTATTTAAAATTAGGTTGTGTTTTCATTTAAATTTAAAGAGACTGAAGAAAAAAACTGAACAAAAGTTTAAGAAATAAGTCACAAATTAAAGAGTTGAGGAAAGTTAGATTTGTTTGGAAAAAAAGTCACAGACAGTGAGGTATTGCTTTTGGTATATCAAAAAATAAAGTGGTCCTAAATAAATTTGTTAAATATTATGTTTGAATTTCTTTCGAGAAATTGTATACAATACTTAGCTAAATTGATCGTATATTTTTATCTGAATAACCAAAATGCTTATGGTTGTTTAAGCCACTTTATAACAGTTGTTTTACCACTCCAACCAAAACAAATTTTTAAAACATATTAAGTAACTTAATAGTGGTCTTGTTGGGGACAAATATAATCTATGTATATAAACTATATATATATATATATATATATATAAACTATATATATATATATATATATATATATATATATATATATATATATATATATATATATATATATATATATATATATATATATATATATATATATATATATATATATATATATATATATATATATATATGTATATATATATATATATATGTGTGTGTGTGTGTGTGTATGTGTGTGTGTGTGTGTGTGTTGTAGCACTCCTCCCATGTTTTATCTGTCAATTGATGTAATAAAAAAAAAAAAATCCTCCAGTCTATAAAGTTACGTTTTTTTGGCTTTTTATAAATGCATATATATACACATATATATATATATATATATATATATATATATATATATATATATATATATATATATATATATATATATATATATATATATATATATATATATATATATATATATATATATATACATAGGGTTTCCAATCATCCGATCATCTCGATATTGAATTCATTAAAAATTATTATAATAAATTAAAAAAAATAATAATAATATTGATGATGAGAGAATTTAATAATGTTTTAGTTCAATAATTAAATTTATTTCAAGTGCATACATTGAAAATTCATAAAATAATAAAACAATTATTATATTAAAATATATTTCATTTTTAAAAATGCAAATTTCAAAAAAATACTTGTAAGTTTGAAAATTTAAATGAGTTTTAATTTTTGTCATAGTTAGACATGCTATCAAAAAAATTAGGAAGTGTTTTTTTTGTTAGAAATGCATTATTTCATACTATATTTCAATTATTTGCACTTGTTTTTGTGTTTGTTAAAAGCATAAAATTATTTTTCAACTTTAATTGCTCTTCACCGAGTTGAGGAAAAGTATTGAAGACAAGCACATTCTCACTTACAATTTCTTTTACAAATGCTTAACCTCATTATGCTCAGTACCTTTACTTCCATCGCTATATGTCTGAACCCTTTTAATTATTTCTAGAGCAATTAAGATTCTGAAGTATAATCAAAATATTTAAATGTGAAATATTTCTAAAAAGATTATTAATTTCATACTCTCATGTGCTTAATACAAGGTGGGATGGTAATAAAAGGGGGTGGGAATTTTAGTCCTAATAAAAAGGTGTGTGAGAATTTTTTAATACATATATATTACATAGATTAAATAGTTGTGTAATTCTATTGTTATTCATGTAAACAAACAAACACAAACGCATGTTGCAATAAACGTTTTTTTTTTTTTATAAGCATATGGTACTTTTAATATAATTTATGTTTTACATAAATTACACCAGCTTAGATTAAAATAAATATTTTACAAGAGATCTACTTGAAAGATTTTGTTAAGATAATAAGACTGTACTGTATTTTTAAATTGTTTTTCCGCTATTTTTTCATAAAACAATAGCCGTTACTAAATACATAAAACAAGTACTCCAAGTCAGGACAGGGTTTTTAAAGTATAAATATATATATAGCAATGATTAGATAGTATTTTAAAAACATTTTTCACTTTTTGAGCTCTGCTTAAAAAGTATAAGGTAAAACAAAAAGGTTTTATCGATTACCTTATAATCTAATTAAAATTTGATAATCTTATTATTCCAAAAATTGTTTAATTTTTGCATTTGATTTTTATATATATTTTTTTTATTTAATAAATTTGTTTCCCTGAGGCCGAGGAGGCACACAGTCAAGGATACTACTTTTTTTTTCAAACTATGATTACAGGGCCAACAACATGGGTTATAAAGTGAAGATAATGCTAGATTTGTCAATTTTTTAAAAGTCCTCTATATCTTAAATAAAAAGGTCCTTTGGAAAAAAAGTGAAAATTAATAAACATCCCATTCGATGTATTTAGCACCTAAGAGTAAGGATTTTATCTATAACACTTTTAACTCTTAGGTGAGTAATAAGACATCTTAGGTGAGTAATAAGACATCTTAGGTGAGTAATAAGACATCTTAGGTGAGTAATAAGACATCTTAGGTGAGTAATAAGACATCTTAGGTGAGTAATAAGACATCTTAGGTGAGTAATAAGACATCTTAGGTGAGTAATAAGACATCTTAGGTGAGTAATAAGACATCTTAGGTGAGTAATAAGACATCTTAGGTGAGTAATAAGACATCTAATAGTTTTTTTATAGTATAATAGGAAGTTGATTTTTATTCTCCACTGAAATTTTTTGTTTTTTCTTTTTTTTTAAATTCATTTAAAGTTTCATTTATAGCATCCTTTATTTAAAGGAATTGTTTAAGCATGGTTATCAATTAATTCCAATTAGTTTTGGCATCTAGCATTATCTTCTTGTCTTATTTGCCTGTTCATTAACATATCCTTGTCAAAGATTATTTTTGACCAAATTTCATTATTTATATAAATCTTGAGATTTTTTATAACTTCTTGAAAATCTTCAGTGAGATCTAGGTTAAGTGTGATCTATGGTTCAGTGAGATCTAGGTTAAGTATGATTTATGGTTCAGTGAGATCTATGGTTTAGATGTTTTCTTCTAGTTAGCAGATTATGTTAACATCTTCAATATTAATTGTATTATTCATTAATGTTTCCAACAGATTTATGCTTTGCTAACATTAGCAAAGTTTATTTTTTCTTTGTTTTCTTCACAAAGTGTTACAAAGAATTTTTAGTAATTAACTTACATTTAAAAGAAAAAAAAGTTATTACTAAAAGGAAATATAATGACCATCTCTTAAATTTTATTATTTTAAATATCAGTAAACTAAACTTTCCATATTTTTGACTTTTTGATTCAATTAAAATTTTCTGGACTTAAATTCTGAATTAAATCTATGATTTAATTGAATCTTCAGTTGTGTAAGTATATAAGCATATCAGTTAATTCACTTTTACACCTAGTTAAAATATAATTTTATAAAATTGCAAAAAATGTAAAAAATTTGTATTAAAAGTAAAAAAAAAAATTATTCATGAAATAATTCTTGTAATGATTCATAAATTATGGTGTAAAATTTTAAAAAAATTAAACAATTTTATTTACTAGCAAGATTCGACCAGTTGAAAATGCAAAATTGTCCCTTACCTTGTGTAATCGACTCTTACAAGTTGAGTCTTTCTCGAGCGCTATTCCCATCACCTCAATATGCTGATTCACTTACAAATAGTCTTCAACAGCCTCCACATATTATCAATTCTATAAAAAATATTAGTGACAAAGTTCAATTTGCAAGGTAAAATTTTGTTTTATATAATTAAATTAATCTAAAGTGTGGGTACAAAGCTTATTGGTCTTACTGTAAACACAATTTTTTCTTTAGAGATAACCTATTTCAATTTCTTATTGGTTTTACTGTAAAAACAATTTTTTGTTTAGAGACAACCTACTTCGATTTGTTATTTACTATGATGATTTATCATATGAATTGATTGAACAAAAGCCAAGTTATGATACTTTGGTTTGGTTAGGTAAAAAAAAATTTCACATCAATAAATTTGAAATTTCAGTTTAATATAAATTGCGTTAAAATTGTTTGATGTGTGAAATTATAGTTACGATTAGTTTGTAATTATTGTAATTATTATTTAGTATTGGTTTATATTAATATTACCTTAGCCTAGTAATAACTTAATGTATTATATTAATATATCAATGTTGACATGTTTTAGTAAGTTTTTTTTTTTTTTAATTTTAATTCACCTCCTCAAGGCCGAGAAGGCCACTATAGACGAGGAGGCTACTTATTTGTGGCTATAACCCTCTCTCAACTCTATAACTCCGAAACACGAACCTTGACGAACAAGGCCGCTGCGCGGAGAAACGAGTTGAGCGCGGTACTACCAGGGGCGTGGTGGGGATCGAACTCGGAACCACTCGTTTATGAAGCGAGCGCTCTACCACTACACCACTACCGCAAGTGTCAATGTTTTGCAGTAAATTTAGCTGTGAATAGAAAAGTATTTTTTTATTATAATTTTATTTTAATATTTGTATTTTATTAGGATTTTTAAGTTTTATTAATGTCTTATTAAAAAGTGGAAACTTTAGATTCGAAAAATGTTTTGTATTTATCTTTATAAATTGGTTTATATATTTATATGTTATTGAAGTTATAAAAAATTAAGCATTATGCAAAACTTCAGATGTTGTTTAATTTAGGTTGCAATTTCAGATTGCATGTTTTAATTTAGGATGCAATTTTAGATTGCATGTTTTGCAGCATTTCTCTAATTTTTGAAAATGCTTTGAAGTATAACTAGCCATTAAAAATTTTAAACAACAATGCCATTACTCAAAAACTTGTAAAGACTAAGTTTATAAGTTTCTGAGTTGTGGTCATTGGGCATTTACTAATTTATTCACAAGAACAAATGTTGGTATAAGTTTGTAAGTAGCTAAGTATTTGAACAGAAACAAAAGTGTTTAAATAAACAAAAAGCAACTGCTATTGATAATAGCTTTATAAGCAATTACACATAAACTTTAAAGCTATTATATCTAAAACTCCGATGTATCATACACCGAAGAGTTTTTGTAGTTAGGGTTTTTCAGTTCTAATTTTGAATCCAAGGATTTCTAGTGTGTAATTGTCTTATCATAGGACGCATAAATTTGTTTTTGTTTTATATAAAAACATAATTCAAATATAGTAACAAATATAGTAACAAGCATAAGAAGCATAAGAATTAATAATCTTTAGTTGAGTATTCCAACATTTGCTAAAGTCCATTTTTGATGCTAGCAATACTGTAGCAAATGTTTGATGAAATATTTGCTACAGATTTTGCTTACAGCTCATTTGTAGGGTTAATTTTTAATTACTATTTTATTTAGGATTAATTTTAAATTATTATTTTATTTGTGATTTTAAGATTAATTTTAAATTGTTTTAATTGTGATTTTATCTAAATAGTTTGTTTAAGAATTTTAGTAAATCAACAAAATCTTTTTTTGCAATTTTCAACTCTCTGCTGCTTCTGCAGCAGAGAGTTGAAAAATGCACACTGGTTAGATATGACAGAGAAATTATTAATAGTGGAGTTCAACATAACTTCTTAACAAATAGAAGTGCGCCATTATGGAGTTCATTGTCAAAAGAAGCTCTCGAAGCAAAAAACTTTAAACGAATTCAAAAATATTTATGATAGACTACAAAAGTAAAAAATCTGAATGAAATAAAACATCAGTTAAAACATGAAAAGGTTGTTGATTAATGTCAAATTCCTTGCTCAAGGTAACAACTACCTACATTTTAAATACATATATACATATGTTTTCAGATACATTTAGTTAAATTTTGGAATGGCGACACCCAATCATTGGTTTGACAAACATTTTATTGATCCATTCATTCTTAAACATTTCAGAAATAAATTATGGTGTTATAAATATTCACACATTTATGCATATGCATATTTGTCAGGCTAAATGTGAATAAAAGCATAACCATACAAACATTTAGCATTAAGTTTGACTATATTTTTAACAGTATAACATAAGCATAAAATTTTTTGATTTTAAATTTTTAAAGATACTTTTATAACTTATAAACACTTTTATAGTTTTATACAAACAATTAAGTAAATGATAATAGTTTAAAATTATTGTTAAATATATATATATATATATATATATATATATATATATATATATATATATATATATATATATATATATATATATATATATATATATTAATTTATATGTTATATATAATCAATCTTTGTATTAACTGCTGCTGGTTACTCTATGGAACAAGCTACAAAACCCAGTATATAGATAACTATATTGATGGTCCTGTAATTTTGTAAAAATTACAGGGCCATCAATATAGTTCATATATGAAATATTTGGAGTTTTTTACTGACTTCTATAGTATATACTTGAATATTAAGTATATCAAAGTACTTTACAATATTTTATCCCTTATGATCTTGTAGAAGAATTACCACTCATGATCCTCTAGAAGTATAGTCTTAATAAGATATAAAATTTGTTTAGAAGTTAGAAATTTAGTTTAGGAAGTAAGTTAGAAATTGTGATATAAAGACAATGTTTTTATCATAAACTATAAATTGGTAATATCTTGTATTCTGAACTTTTGATAGCAATTAGGATCAGCGATTTAGATCTTGCACTTTTTCTACCTAACACTATATACAAGCTGAATTACATACAAAACCTTTTCCAGTCATAGTGAATGGTTGGCATTTAAATTTATTTAGTAAATTGTTTTAAATAGCATTATGCTAAGCGAAGAATAAATTTTAAACAATTTTGCAACATTGGTTTTGTTTAAAAAGTTTTTTTAATGTTTTTGTATATTGAAATAGTGCAATTTATTGTCTTGCCTACTAAATTTGTGGCAGTAACTGATTTTTTAAATTTTAGTTTTTGCACTTTGTATGTGTGTGTGTTAAAATATAGTTTTGTATTTTTTTTTTTGTGTGTGTGTGTTGTGTCTGTGTGTGTGTCTGTGTGTGTGTGTGTGTGTGTGTGTGTGTGTGTGTGTGTGTGTGTGTGTGTGTGTGTGTGTGCGACTTTGGTAGGAAGAAGAAGTTAAATACATACTTTTTTTAATGTGTTTTTTTTATTTTGATATACATTTTTTTGATATTTTCATTGATCTATTGTGATCAGTGTCCCTGATTCCTATATGATAAAGTATAATTAATATATCAAATAAAAACTATTCACTAAAAAGATTACTTTACAAAGCATAGAATAAAATATAAAAAAATTTAATGCAAATGTTTGTTAAATTTAGTAAAAAAAACTGCTTCTTTATCACCATCATCATGATTCTTGCTCTCTCCATTTCCTAACTTCTAGCAAACTCTGGCTCTCTTTTTTTTTGACTATTCTGGAGCAACAGATAAGTTCTTGGTGTGTAACCAGTCAAAGGTACTTTTACACATTTCATGATCAATAGCATCCTACTCACCCACTTTCCTCAAAAACTGTTTTTTTTTGTACTCAACAAATCTGAACAAAACATTTTTTTTAGTGTCGCTAATATATATACAATCACTTGAGCGTTTTAGTTGCTAGACACCTGTGTTTGTGTTTAGCTAGCAGACACCTGTGTTTGTGTTTAGCTGGTAGAGACTTGTGTTTGTGTTTAGCTGTTAGGCACCTGTGTTTGTTTTTGGCTGGTAGGCACCTGTGTTTGTGGCTGGAAGTAGTTTGGTCTTATTGTTTCAAAATATATTATTTAAATATATATATTTTTTAAAAAACTGATGTGAATATAATTTTTCATTTGTTTTTTAAGTTCTTTTACAAGTTGTAGACCAACAATTAATTTCTATTGATGTTATATAAAAGGTTGGTTCTATGGTTGACATACTAAGATTATTCTTGCCATGATCATTTTCAACATGTCTATCAGAAAATCAATTTCTTGTTGAAAGTATTGTTGAGAACATACTCTTTTTTATTTAAAGGTTTTTTTTGATTTTCTTAAAGGCATGGGGGTGAGGTATCAAACTCATAACTTCTTGCTTACAAAGTGAGCGTTCTTTTACTACATCAATACCTAAATATACAAATAAATTTTAGTGCTGCATAAAAACCTTTGATTATGATAATACTAAAATTTATTAAGTTTGGGTTTTAAGTTAGTGGTATTTTCAAGATATTTGGAATTTGTAGGCTTCATTTATTATGTTATACATATTATCTGGAAAATTTATTTTTAATAGTTTTTAACATCAGCATTTTATAGCAAGGTTCTTTTAATTTACCACGTTTATAATTTTTTTTTTTTAAATTGAAACAAATCAAGCATGACAGTTATCTACATATTTCTTGTAAAGTTTTGGTTTAAATATATCCACAATGGTTATATTAGTTTTTTTTTCTATATTCTGTAAAAATGCTTCTGCCATAATAACTATTAAAGACAAACCTATAAGATTTGAATTCAGATTGCATTTTTGTTTCATCAATTCCTTCTTCAATGGGTTTAGATGGATAAAAAAACTACATTAAAACGTGAATGTTATTGGCATCTATTTTCTTTTCTCTAGATTCATTAACAGATA